TCATCAAAGTTTCTAACTCTCTATCTCTCTCTCTTCCTCTCTGTAAAAAATCAATAAAATATACTTTAAAAAAAGATGAAAATATTCTAAAACTGATTTAAAGTGATGGTTGCACCATTTAGTAAAATTACTAAAAATCACTGACATTTAGTTGAAATGGGTGGATTTTATGATATACAAAATATCCTGTATAATAAAAGCCTAATATGCAAATTGTCCCCTTGGGCAGTTGTTTGACTGGGAGTTCAACCAGGAGACCAGGAGTTCAACCGCTCACTATGACATGCGCTGACCACCAGGAAGTGGTGCAGAACATGGTGGGTATCGGTGATGCAGTGCTGGCAGCGGGCAGGAGTGCTCTCGCTGCTGACCCTGATGGGCTCTGACAATGATGGTGGAGCAGGTGAGAGGTGGGGGCACCAGGCCAAAGCAGGTGTGAGCAGGGGCCCAATCGCTTGGTTGATCACAGTCAGTGACCAGCTGCAGTAGGGGGTTGGGGGAGGAGGCAGGGCTGCTGGCCAGTTCCTAGGCACTGAGGGAGCTGGGCGGGGGGCCTGGCCCTGACTCATTTCCCACAAGTGGGATGGTGGAGAAGTTGAGGAGGCGGCACCAGACCAGAGGGATGCCAAGTGGGACTGCAGGGCTGTCTTTCCCTCTCTCTTCCACTCTCCCTAAAAAAAAAAAAAAGAAAAAAAAAAAAAAAAAGAAAAGAAATCAATGGAGCCCAATCAGGTTTGGCTTGGTGGATACAGTGTCAGCCTACAGACTGAAGGGCCTGAGGTCCAATTCCAGTCAGGAGCACATGCCTGGGTTGTAGGCCTGATCCCCAGTAGGAAGAGGCAGCTGATTAATGATTCTCTCTCATTGTTAATGTTTCTCTCTCTCTCTTCCTCTCTCTCCCTCCCTCCCTGAAATCAAGAAAAAAAAAAAATAAATGAAAAAATATCTTCAGGTGAGGATTAACAAAAAAATAATAAAATAAAATAAAAATCAATGGGGAAAATATCTTTGGGTGAGGATTAAAAAGAAGAAATGCAAGAAACCAAGATGGCGGTATAGGCAAGCACCTAAATTGCTGCCTCACACAAGAATTTCAAAACTACAACTAAAAGATAAAACGGACATCATCCAAAAACCACAGGAAAGCTGGCTGAGTAGAAATTCTACAACTAGAAGGTTGAACAACATGGATCAGAGGAGCCCCAAATCACTGAAGTACAGAGACACTCGCGCGCAGAGAAGAAGGGCGGCCGAATGCCTGGCTGGTGGGGGGAGGGGGAGGGAGGAAGCCCCTGACTGCACTGAAACCCAGTTTTGGACAAGCCCCTGGACATGCTCATATAGGGGGAATCTGGACTGTCAGGCAAAAACTCAGGGGAGCCACAGAAGGCAGAGTTCTGGAGGCATGTGTACAAGGGCAGGGCTAATAGGAAGCCAAGACTGTCGGCTCAGCCCTGAGACTCTGCCCCATCCAAGCTGAGCACAGAGGCTTTTGCAATTTTGCAAGTGTGGTCCTCTAAGGCTGTCTCCAGCACAGGTCTCCTGGTGTCGACAGAGCTGATACACATAGCCAATTGGCCTGGAGGTCAATTCCTCCCAGTGATACAAACAACAATCAAGACTTAACTACAACAAGGCTGTACACACAGTCCACAAAGGGGAGCACCAAGAGTGTCCACCTCAGATAACTGAGGAGGCTGAGCCACTGAGCCATATAGGAAACCTAGCACACAAAGCTACCCTACCAACTCAGGGAAGCAGCAAAAATGAAGAGGCAAAAAAAACAGACCACAAATGAGAAATGGAGAAAAACAAACAACTGGATGTAGAATTCAAAACCACGGTTGTAAGGTTTTTCAAGAATTTCCTAGAAAAGGCCCAAAAATTTAGTGAGACCCTCGAGGATATGAAAAAGGATCAACTAGAAAATAAACATTCACTGACTGAAATAAAAAATATTATACAGAGACCCAACAGCAGACCAGAGGAACACAAGAATAAAGTCAAAGATTTGAAATACCGGTACAAAAAAAACAACTGGGAAAGCAAAAAGAAAAAAAGAATCCAAAAAGTTGAATATAGTATAAGAAACCTATGGGACAACTTCAAGCGTACCAACATCAGAATTATGGGGGTGCCAGAAGAAGAGAGAGAGCAAATATTGAAAACCTATTTGAAGAAATAATGTCAGAAAACTTCCCCACCTGGTGAAAGAAATTACAAGTCCAGGAAACACACAAAACCCCAAACAAAAGTAATCCAAATAGGACCACACCAAGATACATCATTATTAAAATGCCAAGAGCAAAAGACAAAGAGAGAATCTTACAAGCAGCAAGAGAAAAAGTTAGTTACCTACAAGGGAGCACCCATATGATTGTCAGCAGATTTCTCAACAGAAACTATGCAGGCTAGATGGGAGTGGAAGGAATATTCAAAGTGATGAATAGCAAGAACCTACAACCAAGATTACTCCACCCAGCAAAGTTATCATTCAGAATTGAAAGTCAGATAAAGAGCTTCACAAGTTAGAAAAAGCTAAAGGAGTTCATCACCACCAAACCAGTATTATATGAATTGCTGAAATGTATTATTTAAGAAGAGGAAGAAGAAAAAAGTAGATAAAAATTATGAACAACAAATACATATCTATCAACAAGTGAATCTAAAAATCAAGTGAATTAAAAATCTGAGGAACAGAATAAACTGGTGAATATAATAGAATCAGGGGCATAGAAAGGGAGTGGACTGATAATTCTCAGGGGGAAAGGGTTAAAGGGGAGGCAGGAAGAGACCAGACAAAAATCGTACACCTATGAATGTGGACAGTGGGGGGAGGTAAGGACAGAGGATGGGGTGGGAACCAGGTGGAGGGAACTGTGGGGAGGGAAAGGAGAAACAATTGTAATAATCTGAACAATAAAGATTTATTAAATTAAAAAAATAAAAATAAAAAGAAGTGCAGGGACCATAGCAGTAAGCTAAACACCAAAAGAAAGTAATCAAGCATTTAAAGGTGAGATATTCTACTGGGATAAAAGCCTGGATTCTTTAGCTAATCAGAGAAAGAAAAAGAAACAGGGTGGGCTATTTTATATTTTAAAAGACTTGATGTACATAAACCAAAAACAAATTTGGTCCTTAACTAGATCCTGGTATAATTAAACAGCTGAACAAAGGACATCTGGGAGATAATTTGATAAATTTAAAATGGAATATTAGATAACATTAAGAAGTTACTTATTTTAAATGTGATTATTTTTGTTTTGTAGTAATATGCTTTTTTAGATGTGCATGCTGAAGTAGGTAGAAGTGGCAGATTTAGATGTCTATGATTCACTTCAAAATACATCAATGAGTATAAGATATAAAAAATTACAATGCAAGTCTTAACTTCCTAGCTCACTGCTGTTTCCATAAATGCTCATTAATTTATGCAGAATGTATAATAATTACAGAGGAATAACTCTGGCCCAGCGGTGTGCCTCAGTGGTTGAGAACCATCTATGACCAGAGGTCATGGGTTGGATTCCCCCTCAGCGCACATGCCCCAGTTGCAGGCTGGATCCCCAGAAGGGGCAAGCATGAACAGCTGATCAAAGATTCTCTCCCATCATTGACGTTTCTCTCTCACCCTCACCCTTCCTCTCTGAAATCAATTAAACAAACAAAAGAACTCTTCCAGTCCGAGGTTCAGAGAAGTGACTTACCATGAATGTTACTTTTTTTTTTTTTTTTTTTTTGTAAAACAGGTACTGAACCAAAGAGAACTCAAAGGTTAACAACACAATAGTGTTGGCAACGTGGTGTTGGCTCAGGGTTCCAAAATGCATCAAAGCAGCATGGCCAGAGAGCTTGGTTCTCCAAGAACTAAAAATACCTGACGGAAGAAGTTCTTGGTGTTTACCCCGAGAGCACAAGGCCGGTCCAAGATCACAGTTAAGGCTCTGAGGCGGCCGCCTCGCTAAAACAATCCTCAATTGTCACATAAAGTCACATCCTTTCTGACTTCACCGCCCATTGCAGCCAGCTAACCACCTCTCCCAAGCTGTGATGACGTTAGGGGCCCTCTCTGGACAAATCCTCTCCTCAAGCTAAAGAAAACCTTTACTTATTAGAACCACCAGTTCCATATCAACCGGGGCCCTCTCAGTCTCAGAACTGGGGACGCGCAGCCTCCTCCAAACGCCGGGAACTAACGGTCCAGCGGCCCCTTCACCGCCGGCCGCGCCTCCCGCCCGCGGCGCACAGGGCGGCGCCCTCGCCGGCCTCTGCACCAGGTGCGCTGCGCTGAGGGGTGTGCACACAAGTGCGCCCGGCGCCCCTCGTTAGTGGCTCTCTCTCGGGGAAACTTAACCATACGCCGGCAGGTGAGCCGACCGAGAAAGGCCCTGCATGCTGGCCCTGTAGCTTGGACTTTTCGGCCCAGCAACGGAGAAACGAGGGAGAAAAACCGCCCGACCCTCCCATTAACACCCCGAGCTCCGCGACTTCCGCTGCCTGACCGCCCCGGTGGACGAGAGCCGCATCCGCCGTCGGACAGCAGGGGGCGCGCTGAGCGCTCGCTTCCCGCCCCGCGCCCGCCCCGCCTCCACCCCCCGCCGCCAGCGTGCGTCAGGGGTCACGTGCGGCGTCTCCCTCCCTACCGGCTGCGGGCGCTTCCTCCTTCCGGAAGTCGCTCCCACTGGCGTCGGGCTCCTCCCACCACCGTCGACGTCAACCTGAGCTCCTACCACTGCTCTGCCTCCGCCTCCAGGCGCGGGGAGGGCCGCGGTTTCCTTACAATAAGCCCTGCCGCTTCCGGGCCCTGAAACCGGCCAGACGACGGTTTTGGAGTCCCGGAGCCTGCAGGCCTCGGAGGCTGTGAGTAAAGGCTGAGAGGCCAGCGGCGGGTTCTCGGGGGCCGCCCCCGCGGAGGCCTGTCCCCCTCTCCGCCACTCGAGCCGCACTTGGTTCCGCCGAGACCCACGACGGTTCCGCCCCCTTCTTCCTTGTCATTGATGTTGTTGTTCTTGTCAGTGCCGCAGCCCCGACCGCCGGGAGCTCGAACCCGAGCCGGGGCCGCCCGGGCGGCGCGGTGGCGGCGGCGGCAGTGGCTGCGGCTGCAGCAGCTGCGGCGGCTGCGGAGGCTGCTGCGGGGCCTGCGGGGGCGGCCGGGGGCCGGCGGCCGGCGGCGCGGCCGGATGGCTCTGTGCGGGCCGGCGGCGGGGGCCGCGTCGCTGCCCAGCGAGCTCATCGTGCACATCTTCTCCTTCCTGCCCGCGCCCGACCGCCTGCGGGCCTCGGCCTCCTGCTCGCACTGGCGCGAGTGCCTCTTCTACCCGGCGCTCTGGCCGCAGCTCCGCGTCTGCCTCCGGGTCTCCCCGGCGGAGCAGCCTCGGCTCGAGTTCCTCATGCGCAAGTGCGGCTGGTTCGTGCGGGAGCTGCGCGTCGAGTTCGCCGCCGAGAACTACCTGAGCGGCGGCGGCGGGCCGGGCGGCGGCGGCGCGGACCCCGGGACCGGCGGGGAAGAGGTGGAGGCCGTGCAGCTCTCCTCCCGCTGGCTGGAGGTGCTGCGCACCTACTTGGAGCTGGTGCTGTGCGTGCTGGTCAGCATCCGGAACAACAGGTAGGCTCGTCGCGGCCCCTCCATCCCCGCCGCCGCCGCCCCCGCGCGGCTCCGAGCTGCCTCCTTCCTCTCTCCCAGACGTAGGCTCCCTGCGGATGTGCTCGGCCCACTTCGGGTTTTATTGAGGCAGGGAGGCAGGATGGGAGTCATCATTACTGCTTTATAAGCGGGGCTGTACTCGGTGTCTATCGGGCACCACCCCCGGCGCCTTCCGGGCCGTGAGGGTCTCCTTCATCTTCTCCTCGGTGGTGCGAGGGAGCTGACGGGCGCTGGCTTTACTCGTTTTTTACAGATAGGAAAGTTTGGAGAGTGAGATGTGTGAGTTTGGGAAGAAATAAAAACAAAACTCTGGTGTTTTTTTCTGACTCTATCTGTCCATTCAAAGCAGATAGACTGGGGTGGTGAGGGGGAGGAGGCAATATGCTACTGGTGTCATAATCATAAGACTCTGCCTAAAAGAAATCTCTGACAGCCACTTTCTGGCTGGAAGCAGTTTTGATTAACTGGGCCAGGCACAGAGAGTAGTGGAAGAAGTGCTTGTTCGATTGGGGATTGGGGAAGAGCCAGGTCATCACGATTGGAAGTCCTTCCCCATACACCTCCGCACTCAACTTGTCCCCAAATGATTCACCTACAAGCACAGTCCAGCATGGTGGTCGCCTGGGTTAAGCGAATTGGTCGGTGTCTGCAGAGGTTCAGCCCGTATGTAACTGTCCTCGTTTTACATTAGGATTTTACTGTAATTCTGGGACTAACTTTTTGTGTTCTGTGTTCTAACTGATTTTCTATTTCTGTTTAGAAATAGTTTCTAAAACTATTTCTGTTTTCTATTGCCCTCTCCATAATCCCATTAATTTTTATTTTCTGTATTTGGATATTCTAAACTTACAATTAAACTATGAGTTGGAAAAAAGTTCAAAAATCAAAGGAGCAACATACATAGTCATAATAGTTGAGCAGGTCCCAGCTACTTTCACATTCACTATCTTAGTTGATCCTTTCAGTGACGCTGTGCATTAGGCAGGAGGGGTACTACTATTAGAAAGAAAACTGACACTTGACTATGTCAAGCATTGTTTTTCTCCAAGAGCAGTGCCTTTACTTTTGCAATAAATATAGTATGTTGAACAGGATTGAGAAGGTCCTGGTTTAATGCTAAACCAATTATATATAAGCCAATCCCTTCACCCCACTCCCTCACCTCAGGCACCCACCAGTCTGTTCCATGTATCCATGCTTTTATCTGAACCAAAAGTGGGCAAGTTAAGCATATTGCTCCAAGTTGTATCTGAGCATGGCTCCAATATCCCTAGCTTTTCACAAACGATTCCATTTCCTTATTTTCATTTTATGTGGCAAGAAAGGCTTTTTGAGGCCTTGATCAGATTGGGAACTCTGACAGTCAAATGCATGGCTAGAGGAACAACTGACCCTGAAGTTGAAAGGATTCAATCTGTGAGCATTTAATTACTGATGAAATCCACAGTGGGGGTGAATTCAGCCAAAACCAATTAGATTTTCATGTTCGGAGATACGATAGCACTTCTCAGCAACCATCCAAAAAAGTGTGCCTTTGGTCTAAGAACAAGTCTTGCACAGTGCCTAGTTTCTCTAAGTGTTTTAAGAACTGGTTTGTTAGTTGAATGGGTGGATAACATTACATAGACATTTTCTTCCCTTTGGTGTTTAATTTTTCTCTCTCTTCCTCCCCCATCACTTTTTTTCCCAGCCTTATTAAGGTATAATTGACAAGTAAACGTATACTTTCCACTTTTATTAGCATCCCAATCCACCTGTCTATGAGACTACCCTATACCTGTCTTTTTGGGTTAGCTATCATTTCTATACATTGTTATTCCTGATTTTTTTAAAATATATTTTATTGATTTTTTTTTACAGAGAGGAAAGGAGAGAGAGAGAGCTAGAAACATCGACCAGCTGCCTCTTGCACACCCCCTACCGGGGATGTGCCCGCAACCAATGTACATGCCCTTGACTGAATCGAACCTGGGACCTTTCAGTCCGCAGACCAACGCTCTACCACTGAGCTAAACCGGCTTGGACTCATTCCTGATTTTAAGGCTTTGTCATTTACTATAGGGGTGGTGCTATGTTGTGTATCCAAACTTAAAAGTGTAGTGTCATTACATGTATTACAACTAATACTATTTCAAAAGTTTTTAAATTTATGTTTGAAATAGTTAATCTCATCTTTATTTTTGAAAATTGTCTTGAAATACTCTAGTAATATTGGCAGTATTAATATGAATGTTAAAAACATAAATGGGACTAGTTTTCTTTAAATATAAATTTGAAAATGTTTTAAATCAAGTTTTTTAGTTTGTTACTCTGGGGAAGCCTCTTCTTCTTTTCTTCCGTAATCACTTAAACTATATACTGAGGCTCAATGAGACCCAAAACAAATTCATTTACTGTCTTTTGGTTCTCTAGAAACCAAGGATGAACATTTGACATTATTCTTTACATTTCTGAGTTAAATTTACAGTGCTTTTGTTTTAGGATTTCTGCCATTTAATTAGTAGAAAAGGGGGATATAAACCTACCAGTCATACCGTGGCCGTTTTGTTAAGTGGTTACAGTGTCAGCCCTCAGCCCTGAGTAGAGGGTTTGCTTTCCAGTCAAGGTCACATACCTGGATTTTAGGTTTGATCCCTGCCCCCCCCCCCCACTCCAGAAGGCAAGCAATGTTTGTCTCTCTCACCTCTCTCTTTCTTTCTCTTTCTCTCTCTCTCTCTCTCTCCCTCTCCTTCCTTCTCTCTCCCTCTCCTTCCTTCTCTATCCCTCTCCCTCCCTTCAACTCTCTCTAAAAATTAATGGGAAAAATATCCTTAGGTGAGAATGAATAAAAGAAAAAACCTACCAGGTCATAAGTTTTATGCTTCTAGGCTGTGCTGAGTTTACTCAAGATCGGTTTATATATATAGGACCTAAGATAATAGTTATTTTTTTTAAGTCTGTTTTTTATCCTCCAAATATTGAGAGCTTACTATATGCCAAGCAGTGAAGAGAGCCTTCTTGTTCCCATAGAGTCAATATTCTAGAGGAGAAAGGCTGATAGAAACAAGTAAATGAAAGAAAGTTTATTTCATTTGTGGAAATCTGAAAATAAAAGAGTGGCATTCTAATTGACTACCTTTGTGATGCCCACCAGCCAATCAGGAGTGAGTATGCAAATTAACCCAACAAATATGGCAGGTTAATTTGCATATGCAGGTGCCTATCGGCCAGGGAGGGTTCTGGGCAGTATGGGAAGGCAGAAAGGCAGCTCTGGGCTGGAGTGGAAAGGCAGCAGAAGGCAATGCCAGCAGCAAGGGAAAGGATTCTTGTACAAATCTTGCATTGGGCCTCTAGTCTGAAAACAAAAGACTACATATGTAATAGTGAGTAGGTAGCAACATTAGAGTGGCGAGGGAAAACTTTTTTGAACTGCAACTCAAGTGATAAAAGTCACCCATCTGAAGACCTAAGCAAAAAGCATTCCAAGCTGGGGGGGGGGGGGAAATAGCACCAAGGCCTTAGGCCAGACAAATTTTTGGCCTATTGGAAAGTGCCATGCAAATGAGGGTAAGACTATATTCTTAGAATAGAAGAATTAATTGATTGAAAAATATTAAGGACAGGAAAAATGTGATCTAATTTGCATTTTAAGACAATCACAGTTTGCTGTGTAATGAATTATTTATAAGAGGGCACAAGAGCCCAGCTGGCGTGGCTCAGTGGTAGAGCATCAGCCTATGAACCAGGAGGTCAGAGTTCGATTCCCCGTCAGGGATCATGCCCAGGTTGTGGGCTTGATCCCCAGTGTGAACCATGCAGGGAGCAGCTGATCAGTGATTCTCTTTCATCATTGATGTTTCTATCTATTCTTCTCCCTTCCTCTTTGAATTCAATTTTTAAAAATTGTTTCTTTTTAATGGCACAAGAGAGGAAATAGGAAGACTAGTTGGAAAGTTGTTGCAATAATCTACTCAGGAGATGATGGAGACAGTTGAAATGAAGAAAACGTGGATAGATTTGGAATATATTTTGGAAGTAGAGTCAAGAGGACTTGCTGCTTGGATGTAGATTTTTAAAGAAAGGAAGGGCTCTGGACAGGTGGCTCAGTTGGTTGGAGCATTATCCTGTATGCCAGAAGGGAGAGTTCAATTCTGGTCAGGGTATATACATAGGTTGTGGGTTCATTCTCCAATAGGGGGCATATGGGAGGCTACCAATGAATGTTTCTCTTTCACTTTAGTATTTCTCTTCCCCTTCCTTTGTGTCTAAAATCAATTAAAAAAAAAAAAAAAAAAAAAAAAAAAAACATATCCTCAGGTGAGGATTTAAAAAAAAGAAAGAATCAAATGGGTTTGTTTTTTTAATTATTTCTCTGTAAGATTCCTTTTTTTTGTTCTTAGCACCGTTAAAATTATCGTTTAGCTCTAACTGGTTTGGCTCAGTGGATAGAGCATCGGCCTGTGGACTGAAAGGTCCAGTCAAGGGCATGTATCTTGGTTGCGGGCACATCCCCAGTATGGAGTGTACATGAAGCAGCTGATCGATGTTTCGATATTTCTAACTCTATCCTTCTCCCTTCTTCTCTGTAAAAAGTCAAAATATGTTTTTTTAAATTAACTTTTAAATTAGCATGTTGTCTAGCAATTTTATATGTCTATCTTATTTTTTAAAATTTTGTATATCAACTTTATTTTATTTTTTTGTATAATCTCTGGGATTTGAGGATGATAGTAATTGAGATGGTAATTGGGTAAATGAATTTGTAAAGCAAATTCTGAGAAATTATGTTTAGTTAATGGATCATTAAAAAGCTAGCAAGGTATGTTATTATAGGCTGGTAGCTTATTTCTGGTCTCTATAAAGTTGTACTATCTAATATGGTAGCCACTTGCAACATATAGATTTTTATTTTTTATTTTATTTTTTATTTTTTTTAGAGAGAAGAAGGATGAGGGAGAACTAGAAACATGGAGCAGCTGCCT